GAAGAATTGTATTTATTTGGATCTATAAGTAAATTGATTAAGAAGTTCACATGGCATGCACTAAAAAAGTGTACTTTTTTGCATATATACACTTTATTTGGATCACATCAATCAACATCTGTCAACATCTCCTCTTTACTTTTCTATTCACTTTCTCTACTTTTCTATACATTTTTTTATATATAAAAAGTCAAAAAGTGCACTTATTTAAAACATTCTAAACCATTGATGATTAAGAATGATTGTATTCATTAGGTTCATATAAGTATTAACTATTGATGATGATTTGATTGTATTTTGTGAGTATGATTGGACTTAATTTATTTTTCAATACGGTGACTATATTTTTCATCTATGTTTAAAAAAAAAAAAAAAAAAAAGATTCTATTCATTATGTTTACATAAAGTATGCAGTATTGACGATGATGATGATTAGATTATATTTTGTAATTATATTTTTTAACTCATTGTATTCATTATGCCATTTAACTATTAATTAATGGGCACTGCTCCGGACCCCTGTACGGAACGGCCCCCAGCACCCCACCTCCACGTGGGGGCTGCCAATGGAGAAAAAAAAAACAATTTTTGACCAATCAAAACAGACCTCCAACGCCCCACCGGGGTCTTATGCATTTTCCTTAATTAATCTAATTCGTGATTGGGTTTTTAACTCATTATGTTTTTTTGAAAAAAAACATAATTATATTTTTTAATTACCAATTGATTTCATTGCTTCTTTCTTTTCTTTTTTTATGAGCAAAAATGTGATTGTGTTTTTTTGCACTACATTTTGATCACAGTGATTTCATGTTGTTAAATGATTGTGATTTTTTACATTCCATTTAATCTGTGTTTTTTGAAGGAAAAAAATATCGCCTTCATGTTTTTTTGAATACAATCACATGGTTATTGTATTTTTAATCTATGTTTTTTGAAAAAAAAAAAATAGATTGCATTCGTTAGGCTCACATAAAGTACCCATTATTAATGATAATTATATTGTATTTTGTAATTGTGATTAAACTTAATTTAATTTTTCAATACGGTGATTATATTTTGAATCTATCTTTTTTGAAGAAAAAAAATTAGATTGTATTCATTAGGTTCACATAAAATACCCACTATTGATGATGATGACTACATTGTATTTTGTAATTGGGTTTTTTAACTCACTGTATTTTTTAACTATTAATTAACTTAATTTGTGATTTTTTTTTTTTTGATTAGATACAATGTTAATATTGTGATCAAAGACAATACTGATTCAATAAATCTCATTGTTCAAAATAAACGGGTAGAATTTATCTTGCAATGTTAATCATCATATTTGAAGAATATGAGATCAAAAGTACGAAACTATACAATTTATTATAAATAAATTATTGCATCATTCCAAGATTGTGCCTATGCATTTATCATACATGTACCAACAATGCAACGTCAACTAGATAGTGCACCGTGCATAACCTTTGTTTTAAATATAGATTGATCTAAAGAATGTCTGTACCTTTTAGAAGGTTAAAAAAAAAAAAGAAATATATTTTACTTTATAATATTTTATAAATACATAATATAAGTGTTGTTAATTAATTATAATACTAACTATCATGTTGACAATGTAAGAATAATGATCGAAGACCCACAACAATTTAAATTTTAGTCATACTTTGTTTTATTTATTTTTATTACTTTAATTATGCAATGTCAATATTTTCTTTTAAAATGACATATATTTTATATAAATAATTTAAATATATGTTTAACATAATCATGAATAGTTTTTTAAATTTAATCCGGTGCATAGTATTGATGATATGCTAGTTTTAGTATAACAAAAAGCACACTTTATATAGATTTATGCGAATTGTTTCAATAATATAGTATTAGCATACAAAAATAGTACATTACTCCAATATCGTATTATTTTTGTGCTAGTTTTATTCATCTACGCATCAACCAGCATTTTGTTTTATTAAAGCTTCAATTCTTTAATATAAATCAAAATTACAAAATAAATAAATGAGCTTGTGCATAGATCTCATTCGTATATTTAGATTTAATTTATTTATGCCAAATTAATTTTTACCTACTCAATTTCAAATCACATAGTTGCAATTAATGTAAACTATTCTAATTATAATGACACGGATATAATTTTATAAAAGAACAACTAGTTAAAGTATAGTGTAAATAGCACTATATTTTTTATGTGCTAAGTTTGACGCGCACACACCAAAATATATATATATATATATATATAAATTTTGGGCCGACTAATCCGGATTCGGGGCGTAGTTTTGGATGGTTAGACTCAAAGCCCCTCCCAATTGGTGATGCGGAGAATCGAACCGTAGTCCTTCCTACCAAGTCAAGCTCCAATCGCCACTTGACCACCAACCAATTGGTAAAAGAACAACTAGTTAAAGTATAGTGTAAATAGCACTATATTTTTTATGTGCTAAGTTTGACGCGCACACACCAAAATATATATATATATATATATATAAATTTTGTGCTATTGTAACATAATATGCTACACTGTTAAGTGGCCCTAAGGTGTGACTCGAACTTGAGATCTGTGAATTTTATCCTCCAAGCTTTACCGCTTGGCCACTTGCCTTGGGGTTAGCATTTTATTTATTGTTTCTACTTGTATTGTGAAATTTTACACTACTGCACCTAAGCCACTGTTTGGGAAGTGGGTTTGGGTGGATTTGGGGTTGAAATAGTCGCAAAAACAAAATAGGTTTTTTAGTTTCAATAAGGTAAAATATTACAACCAATCCATAATTATTATATTCTTTCACTCACAAAAAAATCAAAAAAATCAATAGTCCTTCCCAAACTAGGTTTTTTAACCCCAGACTAAAATAATTAAAAAAGTCAAAAAATCAAAAAGTCAACTCACTTCCCAAACCAAGCCTAAGCACTGTATTGTTACATATGCTCTGATGATTCATTATTTTAAATATATCACTGACATATCATTATGAATTATTTTTTTTAACAAAATTTTTGTTTTAAAATATTTCCATAGAAAAATTCTGACCTTACATAAAATTCATACAAATACACCATAAAAATGATGTGTCAAAGTAACTTAGCAAATAAAACACATTTCCATGAACATTTAGGAAAGTTTTACATATTAAAAAAATGATATATCATTACAACTAATATAGAAAGCAGTATTATTTGAAATGAGAGCTACTCAAATTGAGTTGATGCGGACAACTTAATTGTCACATTCAATAACTTAAAGTTAAAAAATATATGTTGTACGCTATAATTCTCTGTTTATAAATAAAAAATAAAAAATAAATTATATTGAATCATATCATTCAATACATAAATTTTATATATTATTTTTTAAAAAACAAAGGATCATTGCTGTGGGCATTCCTCTAATCAATTACTAATATACTTATTTCATTTTCAAGATAATTTTGTAACTACTACACATAAATAATATGATTTATTATATTTGTATAATAATTAGCATTGAGTGACAATACCACATATATCAACCATCATAGTGATTTTTTCTAGAAATAATATATAAATAGAAAATTTATACAGAATTTTCATATAAAAATATATGATCCTTTATCATCTTTTCATTTTTAATTATGCCATCCTTCATTTATGACTTGCAATTTAAACATTTTCACTATCACCTCATTTTAATTTTGTTGTAAGACAATTCTATTTTAAATCATATTTTATTTTTATGTTTTCAAATTTTGGCGGCAATAGTCCCAAGTTCTAATCTCTTGGGACCATAAGAATAATAACAATTTGAAAAATCATATTACATCTACTTATTTGTTTATTTATCTACATTAATTATTTATCCACATATATCCAGTGTCACCTATATATCCACTTAAATTGCCTATCCATTCATATTACCACCACCACCACTAGCCACCATCAGCAATGACCACCATCTGTCTCTAGCCACCTCCTGCGGTAGGCAATTTGGCAACAATGGGATAAGAATGAATATATATATATATATGTATATTTCAAAATAATAGTTTGTTATTTCTTCTCACCAAACAAAAACAATTTTGAATTTAATGCCACACATCCATAAATATGGGTTTTTCACAATTTTTTTGGATAATTACAAATCAATATACAGTAATATTTTAGAAGTTAATAAAAAGCTTAAATTTTTGATTTTTTTGGGTGGTTTTTTTTATTTTTTTGTGTAAAAAAATAGACAGATGATGTAACTAAAAAAATTAAGGCTCTGTTTGTTTATATTTTCAAACTAGTTTTCTACACCAGAGTTTGAATATGAAGTTTGTTTAGTGTTTTAGAATCACGTTTCGAAAGATCTGCGGAGAGCTCTGTCTCAACTGCTTTCTTAACCGCGCTTTTTAAAAATTTTTTTTGAAAATTTTTCTTGACGGGACGTCCAGCCGGTTAACCGGAATAGTGATTTTTTTTTTTTGCAATTGATATGTTAATTTTTATATAATCGAAAAAAATATTTTCTAAAATTTTTAAAAAATTTTATGTGCTTTAAAATAATTTTGAGTGGTATATTTAGTAATGACTTGTAAATTTTTGTATCAAATATCAAATGTCACATCAACAATTTCCCACTCAAATCAAAACTCTTTTCAAAATTATTTTCAAAACTCTTTACTAAACAAATTTCCTACACTTAAATCATAATTTTAAACTCCACAAATTTAAAATACAACTCATACTCTCAAATCATAGTTATAAAACACTATCAAACGCAAGCTAATTTTTTACCATCTTACCGAAACGTTCCAAGTGCAACGCTGTGGTAGATTTTTTTTCACAGTGAGGTAGATTTTTTTTCGCAGAGAGGGTTGCACTCCTATGTTTGCATAATTACTTTAGATTTGTACTAATTTTATTTATTTATTTGATTATCCAACAGGGGGTGAAAAAGGAACGGCTCAGATTCACTCCTTGCTTTCTGGCTCTCCCTATATCTCCCCCACATCTCCCTCCCTCCACCCCTCCCCCCAAACTCTCTCTCTCTCTCTCTCTCTCTCAGTAGGGTGTTAAGGTAGCAGCAGTCACTAGTAGTAGAAAGAGAGGGTGTACATATATATATATATAGAGAGAGAGAGAGAAGAAGAAGAAGAAGAAGAAGAAGATGTTGTTGGGGAAGAGACCTCGTCCTCCGATCAAGAGGACTACCAGCATGACTGAATTCACCTTGGATCTATCCATTGGCGACGCCCCTCCTCAGCCTCCCGCCGCCGGCTTCGATCAACGGTTCTTGGGTTCCGCCACCGCCGTCTCACCACGAAACCACCGCCGGAATTTGGCTGATTTCGTGGAGACCCCTCACTTTTTGAGGTCTTGCTTCCTCTGCAAGCGCCGTTTGGTCCCCGGTCGCGACATCTTCATGTACAAGTATGTCCTCTCCCTCTCTCTCTCTCACATATAAATTTATTTTACAGGGTTTTTCATCTTCAAATGTTTTAAAACTTTCATGAAATGAAATATGGTAGATTTTTGCGATTGCAAAAGCTTCTTTTTTTTTATTTGTGTTTATTGTTTTTTTCATGGGTTTGAAGCTCTTTTTTTTTTTGGGTTCTATGCTCCCTTGTTAAATTTTCAAAAAAGAAAAAAAAAATTATTCAATTTTGATTTGTGAAATCGTTTGAATTCCAAAAAGAGTCAGGCTTGTCTCCAATCTGAAATCAGATTAGAGTTTTCACGTATTATTTCTTTTTTCTTTTTGTTTTCCTGCTTTAAAGGATGAATAAATAGAATAGAAATAGATGTATAACTAATCATCATTTTATCAAAATTTAAGCCATCAAAAGATAAATAATGACTAATTCTGAATCTCACCATCTATCCAATAATTTGATCAATTTATCAACGAAATTCAAACCATGTGAGTATTGTTAAGACCTAAAAATTTAACAAAATAATCAGATTTTTCTTTGAATTTAATTTTTTTACTCTGAAAGCCTAAAAAATGTCTCTGAAAATTACGTAACACTAATTTGTGTTTGTTAATTATACAGAGGAGATAGTGCTTTTTGCAGTCTAGAGTGTAGACAACAGCAGATGAATCAAGACGAGAGAAAAGAGAAGAAGTGCTCCTTGGCTGCATCCAAGAAAGAAGGCCCACCCTCCTCCGCCACCGCCACCGCCACCGCATCGCAAGTCGTCTCCGCCAAAGGGGAGAGCGTCGCCGCCGTGTAGATTTAGATTCCCCTTGGCCATAAATTCATTTCCGCCCACTTATATATATAAATATATATATGTGTGTGTATGTATAGGTGGGAGGTGTGGGGTGGGGATGAAGTTGTCTTTGGCATGCTAAATGAGCAAGTTTTTTTGGAAGTGTAATATTTCATGTAGTAGATCCAATCCAACATATTATACAACCTCAAAAAAAAAAGAACTGTATTTTCTTTTTTGCTTGAGTTTTGATGTTAATTATCAGGGGCATTAATGGAAGAAAATCACAGTTTTTTTTTATTTTGTGTCTTGTTAAATTTTGGTTTTTTTTTTTTTCTTTTTAACAGTATTGTTCATGATGCACGTAAAATATCATATAGATGTGTAACAAAAAATTTAAAATTCAATCTGTAATTTAAATTCATTTTTAGTATACTCCCTCCCACCAAATATAAAATGAATTTAGATTTGAAGGGGAAATAACTACTCAATGGATGGTTGAAAAAAAAATCCAAATTTATGGTAAATTTACCAATTTTAATTATTAATTTTATAAACTTCTCCATGAACATTTAATTATTTTTTAAAACAAAACCTGATTTGTAATTTTTTTTTTTTGAATGCATTTTTATTTATATTTTTTCGGTTCATGTAAATACTACGAAGGAGCAATGGCTTCCTTCTAGTGAGTAGATACAAAAATCATAGAAATTAGGGTAAATTATAAATACACTCTCTAAGATTTACTTAGAATATAAACTTTTTTTGTGGTTTGAAAAATTACAAATACCTTCTTATTAGAATTTTTTATTTAACAGAATTAATTAAAAAAGTGAAATTTCTAGCTATTCACCTATACAATAATAAAATTATATGAATTATTAATTGAAATAAAATTTTAACATTATTAAAAACTATTAATTAACTTAATGGTTTATTAATAAAAAGGACTTATTTATTATAAAATTAAAAACCTTAAGGGGTATAATGTAATTTTTAAAATCACAGAGAGTAATTTGTAATTTAAGTAAACCTCAGAAGGCGTGTTTGTAATTTACCCTAGAAATTAATGTACAAATTATGTTACAAACACACATACACACACAATCAGTGATGTTATAAATATCAATTTGTGTACTAATTACTATGCTTGGTTTCACTTTTTAAAAAACACTTTTCGGAAAATTTTACTTTCTTATTTTTCGTATTTTTTTATTTTTACAGATTTTTTTTAATATTTTAAGCAATTTTTAAAATTTTTAGACATACCTAACTTAAATGTATCTAAAAAATAAAAAAATTGTGAAGAAAACCTTTTAAAAATTCACTAAATACACAAAATACAAAAAAAATACGAGAATTCAGTATATTTTTTGTATTTTTATGTATTTATTAATTTTTTAAAATATTTTTTCACAATTTTTTACTTTTTAGATACATCTAAGTAAGGTGAATCTAAAAAGTAAAAAAAATGTTTAGAGTTTAAAATTTTAAAAATATTCACTAAAAACAAAAAAAACACGAAAACCAAAAAACTTAATTTTCAAAAAATTTAATTTAGAAAATTCAAACCAAACACACTGAATATATTTTATGATATTATAATACACTAATTGATATAACAATTAGTACGTATAGTATTATTTTAAAAAAATACACATGATAGACAATATTTAATAGAATTTATTAGTGGCACCCACTTCTAAAAAATCTTTTATATTCATATATATTTTATGTTTGATTCTTTAATGGATTTTTATATTTCTTAAAGGGTTTTGTTAAGAATGTGTTAACTCACAATCAACTCTTCTACCATAAAAAATTGAACGGGTTATAAATGTTTGTATTATTAGAGATCAAATTATTCTAATGTATTAATTAGTGTATTAATAGATGATGTGATATCATTTTAAAGATTTTGAGTATTTTTAATGAGTATAATAAATTTGATCAATAATAATATCATAATACTAATTGGTACACTAGTTGGTACATTAATTGATACATATAGCACCACCGTTTCTTTAATTGCTTCTATTTTAATATTTTTATATACTTTTCATAATAGAATATTTGTTAACATTTTTTTATAAAAGTGAATGCCCTTTAATTTTAAATGAAACATTTCGTGGCTTTTAAAAAAAATAATAAATTAAATACCCTTTATTTTGAAAAATTTAATGACATTTTCCTGACATCATATAATTGAAAATAAAGGGCATTTACAAATTAAAAAAAAATCACAAAATGTTATTTAATAATAAAATTCCTTTGTTGATCAATATTATGGAATTTTTTTATATTTTTTTTTATAATTTTTAGATTTATTTTTCTTACACCATATAATTTAAGTATGTTTGAAATATATAAAAAAAAAATAAAAAAAATAAAAAAAACGAAATGTTAATTACAAAAATAAAATTCAATTTTATAATTAAAAAATGTTTTTAAAAAATTCCATTTTAAAGAAAAGGGTCATTTGGTCTCTAAAAATACAACATTTATAAGTTATTCAATTTTTTTATGATAGTGGGGTTAGTTGAGATAAATTAATGCATCCTTAACAAACAAAACCCTTTCTTAAATTCATACATTAATGTGTGATCCAAATTCATTTTGAAAAATGTTATAAGTTCTAAATTTTCTACCAAATAAATGATCAAATGTCTCACATTTGGTCATTTATTTAGTAGAAAATTTGGTATCTTTAACATTACCCATTCATTTTTGGAAAATGTTATAGGTTCCAAATTTTTTACCAAATGAATGACCAAATATCTCACATGGGTGTGAGGTCCATAAAAGTGTAGACCCCACTCCCATGAGAGACATTTGGCCATTTATTTGGTAGAAAATTTGGTATCCCTAGCGTTATCCTTCATTTTTTATGTGCTCTTGCCACCATTATAATATATAAGGGTTTTAGGAACTATATTTTTTCATCTTTAAAAGTAAAAAATTTGTTACAAAAAAAATATTAGGAGACCAATTTCAGTAGTTATGTGAGTCAAAAACATTTTTAAAAAATGGAGGACTTTTAGTGACAATTTAAAAAAATATCATTAATAAATACACTTTTAGCTACAAATTTATTTAGTTGTCAAAAGATTTACTTTTTTTAAACTTAAATTTTGATCCAGAAACATAGTAACTGATTGCTAAATGTCTAATGTTATCGCTAAAAATATAACAATGACACTTTAGTATCTAAGATATTTCATCCCTAAAAAATACTTTTGTACCTAAATTTTTAACTCTAAAATCTTAATTTATTGTAATATACTGAAAATGAATGTGGTCACACAAGTTTATTTATGTATCTAGTCAAAATTAATTTGGTGACATAACTTTTTTGTGTATTATTATTTACTTTTTTTTTTTTTTTGTTTTACAACATAGCATTAACTTAGGAACGAAGGTTTCATTATTGTGAGGAAATCAATGGGTTGTGCATATATTTGAATGGAATTAATTTGTTATAAATTATAATTTTATGAGATTCTCGCAGGGTTCGGTATGATACCCCACCATGTCCTCCAGTTTGAACATGACAGCATGAGACACCTCACTCACAAATAAAAAGGTCGTGGTCCAAGAATACATAACAAAAATGTATTTTCTCAATATAGGCCTACATTATATAATAATAATACATTTGCAATAAAATTAAATTAAGTGCATATTATTTTTTATACTGTTTTACATTTCTATTCATTATGGAAGTGGGTTTCATATCACCGGCTCACTCCCATTGTAAGTAGATTGTAAAATGATATAGAAACGGATGTGTTTGGTGTTTGAAGACAGAAGGTGAAAATGAGAAAAATTGCAAAAAATAAATGTGTAATAAATTTTTTTCAATATTGTTGTATCCACTTCATAATTGTTTTAAAATTAGTCCAAGATCGATTAGATGGGAAAAAAAGCAGCACTTACAAGCAAATATTTGTTCTTCATTTCCTTTGTTTTTGTTTTTGTTTTTTTTTTTTTTGTTTTTTGTTTTTTTGGGATGCTAAATAACAAATAAAAATTTCTTTTGTTCTAATTTATTTCCATTCTTTTACCAAAGAATAATAAATTAGAAATATTTGCTAACTTATGTTGTGAATATTGAGTATAGTTGGGGTTGTAATTGGGACGGGTTAGGATGAATTAAGGGTCTGTATAAATTTTACCTAAAATATAGTGGTGTCTATCCAAACCTAAGCCCAACCTCCATCTGCACTTGTTTGTCCAAACCCGCGCCTAATTTAAAAAGATACAAATGAGAATTCTACTAAGAAAATTTGTTTAAAATATGTGTACCAAACAATAGAATATATTACACGTCAATATACTTTAATCGAAATATTTTATATTTATTTTATATAATTTGTAAATATTAACAATAGAATTCAAATTGGTTGAGTTATTTAAGTTGTGAGAACCCCTTCTCAAAACTTGACAAATTTTAACTCAAAACTTGATCAAATTTCAAATTGTACAACTAGGGTATGTTTGATTGACATGATTAGATCATAGAATTAGGATTATTAATTCGTGAGCCCAATAATCTTATGTTTGTTTTGAAATTTTGTTTCAGGATTATTAATTCAATGGATAATTAATCTAACAAATTTACAAGATTATTGGTAATGGGGTAGGGGTGAGATTATGGCCCTGTTTGGTAGGACTTATTTCTACCTTATTTCAGTTTTTAGCTTAATTTAAGCTATTTTAATGTGTTTGGTTCAGCTTAACAATACAGCTTATAGCTTTTTATAAGTCAAAAATCAACTTATTCTTTGAGTGGGGGAGGAGAAGCTTAATTTATAAGTCAAAAATCAGCTTATGTTCACAGTTATAAGCGATAAGCTGTCAGGCTATAAGTTATAATCATTTTCCCACAGCTCTACCAAACAAAGCCTATATATCCTGGAAATAAAATAAAATAAAAAGACTCTTTTACTAACTATTCTAATGCAAATTAAACAATGGATAAAAGAATAATTTATCTTAATAATTCAATTAGATAATAAATATCACACTAATTTAATAAAATTATTAATACAACCACTATTAATCTGGTAAATTAAATATGGACTAAATTCTTAAAAGTACGCGCTAGCGTCGAGTTGCTCGTGTAGAAGGTTCCAAGTTGCAACCCTCGGCACAATAAGTGAAAGCTAATTTTAAGATTAAATTTTAGCACTTTAGTTTTTAATAATAATATTTAGTAGTGCTTCACTTTTTAGTACCAATAATTAAAAAATGGTCTCAGTGGATCTGGAATTA